CGATTGGCCCTTGAGGCCTCCAAGGACTTGAGACGAGAATCCTGCATGTCGAGGCGTAGCTGACTGCCCGCAAACTCAGAAGAGGCAAAGCTGTAAAACTGCTGACATGCCTCCAACAAGGTGTTCAGGCTGGGGAGGAAGGTGCCGGAGTGATAGTCGCTCATAACTTCTTTAATGCTTCTCTCTGCTGTAGTGTCGAGGGAATTCGGAATGTCCACCGTGGGTGCGTCCTCAAAGGGGCGCTTACGACTGATGTCGAGGTCGACAAAAGCACCTGTCTCAGTATCAAAGGCCTTGGAATTGCTAGAACGCATGTGAAGAGCACGGAAATCATCTCTGGCCTGCTGAGAGGTCTCCAGCTGATAGCGAAGTTGAGGATCCATGTCCATCAGCTCAAGGCCAAGTGGTAACAACTCATCAATGAAAGCATTCAGATCTGCGTCACATTTCTGCTTCTTGGTCTCCGGTGCATTGGATGCTGTAGAAGGAGCTGAACGCGCGTTTTTCCAAGCCAGAAATTCTTGGAACTCAGCGCTTGAAGGATGTGGGAGAGAAGCAACCTCCGGGGGTGAAGCCTCCTCCTTCTGTTCAGTATGGCCTTCTGAGGGCCCAGTTAACATGGCGAAATGCAGAAAAGGCTGGACTGCTCAGCGACTCGTGCCAAAAAGCCTTGTATGTATGTATGTATGTAATGTATGTATGTATGTATGTATGTATGTATGTATGTATGTATGTATGTATGTATGTATGTATGTATGTATGTATGTATGTATGTATGTATGTATGTATGTATGTATGTATGTATGTATGTATGTATGTATGTATGTATGTATGTATGTATGTATGTATGTATGTATGTATGTATGTATGTATGTATGTATGTATGTATGTATGTATGTATGTATGTATGTATGTATGTATGTATGTATGTATGTATGTATGTATGTATGTATGTATGTATGTATGTATGTATGTATGTATGTATGTATGTATGTATGTATGTATGTATGTATGTATGTATGTATGTATGTATGTATGTATGTATGTATGTATGTATGTATGTATGTATGTATGTATGTATGTATGTATGTATGTATGTATGTATGTATGTATGTATGTATGTATGTATGTATGTATGTATGTATGTATGTATGTATGTATGTATGTATGTATGTATGTATGTATGTATGTATGTATGTATGTATGTATGTATGTATGTATGTATGTATGTATGTATGTATGTAATGTAATGTAATGTAATGTAATGTATGTAATGTAATGTAATGTAATGTAATGTATGTATGTATGTATGTATGTATGTATGTATGTATGTATGTATGTATGTATGTATGTATGTATGTATGTATGTATGTATGTATGTATGTATGTATGTATGTATGTATGTATGTATGTATGTATGTATGTATGTATGTATGTATGTATGTATGTATGTATGTATGTATGTATGTAATGTAATGTATGTATGTAATGTATGTATGTATGTAATGTATGTAATGTATGTATGTATGTATGTATGTATGTATGTATGTATGTATGTATGTATGTATGTATGTGTATGTATGTATGTATGTATGTATGTATGTATGTATGTATGTATGTATGTATGTATGTATGTATGTATGTATGTATGTATGTATGTATGTATGTATGTATGTATGTATGTATGTATGTATGTATGTATGTATGTATGTATGTATGTATGTATGTATGTATGTATGTATGTATGTATGTATGTATGTATGTATGTATGTATGTATGTATGTATGTATGTATGTATGTATGTATGTATGTATGTATGTATGTATGTATGTATGTATGTATGTATGTATGTATGTATGTATGTATGTATGTATGTATGTATGTATGTATGTATGTATGTATGTATGTATGTATGTATGTATGTATGTATGTATGTATGTATGTATGTATGTATGTATGTATGTATGTATGTATGTATGTATGTATGTATGTATGTATGTATGTATGTATGTATGTATGTATGTATGTATGTATGTATGTATGTATGTATGTATGTATGTATGTATGTATGTATGTATGTATGTATGTATGTATGTATGTATGTATGTATGTATGTATGTATGTATGTATGTATGTATGTAATGTAATGTATGTATGTATGTAATGTAATGTAATGTAATGTAATGTAATGTAATGTAATGTAATGTAATGTAATGTAATGTAATGTAATGTATGTATGTATGTATGTATGTATGTATGTATGTATGTATGTATGTATGTATGTATGTATGTATGTATGTATGTAATGTAATGTAATGTAATGTATGTATGTATGTATGTATGTATGTATGATGTATGTAATGTATGTATGTATGTATGTATGTATGTATGTAATGTGTATGGTTTACAGTACATACATACATACATTACGTACATACATACGTACATACATACATACATACATTACATACATTACATACATACATACATTACATACATACATACATACATTACATACATTACATACATACATACATACATACATACATACATACATACATACATTACATACATTACATACATACATACATACATACATACATACATACATACATACATACATACATACATACATACATACATACATACATACATACATACATACATACATACATACATACATACATACATACATACATACACATACATACATACATACATACATACATACATACATACATACATACATACATACATACATACATACATACATACATACATACATACATACATACATACATACATACATACATACATACATACATACATACATACATACATACATACATACATACATACATACATACATACATACATACATACATACATACATACATACATACATACATACATACATACATACATACATACATACATACATACATACATACATACATACATACATACATACATACATACATACATACATACATACATACATACATACATACATACATACATACATACATACATACATACATACATACATACATACATACATACATACATACATACATACATACATACATACATACATTACATACATACATACATACATACATACATACATACATACATACATACATACATACATACATACATACATACATACATACATACATACATACATACATACATACATACATACATACATACATACATACATACATACATACATACATACATACATACATACATACATACATACATACATACATACATACATACATACATACATACATACATACATACATACATACATACATACATACATACATACATACATACATACATACATACATACATACATACATACATACATACATACATACATACATACATACATACATACATACATACATACATACATACATACATACATACATACATACATACATACATACATACATACATACATACATACATACATACATACATACATACATACATACATACATACATACATACATACATACATACATACATACATACATACATACATACATACATACATACATACATACATACATACATACATACATACATACATACATACATACATACATACATACATACATACATACATACATACATACATTACATACATTACATATGTATGTATGTATGTATGTATGTATGTAATGCATGTATGTATGTATGTATGTATGTATGTATGTATGTATGTATGTAATGCATGTATGCATGCATGCATGCATGTATCCTTGCACTTTCCCTTTGCTCCCCAGTATTACCCGCAAAAAACACTGTTTTTTTCCAGCGTTTTCGCAAAGAGGATGTCCAAAAACACAGAGTTTTGCGAGATTTTCGGCAAAAGGATGCAGGAAGCGCAAGCCAGCAAAAATGCCGGCAGGGGGAATCGAGCCTGGGACCCCTGTTTTGCGACACCGGCTCCCCGAAGACTACGTTTAGTGGAACGTCATCAAATTGCCGCGCGGTACGTGGGGGACCCCCCCCCAAAACCCTACGTATTTGATGTCGGGCGGGGGGGTAAGGGGGGGGTTATCCTCTATCCTCTAGTAAGCATCCGACACGCCAAGCAATGTCGGCGGATTCCTGATTTTGTTCTTCCCTAGCGTCTGCTTTTGTTCGTTGACCTGTTGAAAGCTGCAGTCTAATGGAAGGAAAGGGTGCTTTTTTTGCCTAGCCCTGGCACAGGGCTAACCCTGGTAAGGTGGTTGGTTGGATGGTTAGATTGGTTGGTTGGTTGGTTGGCGCCTCGGTAGGACGAAGGTTTGGAATGGGTTCAGGGTAGGTTTAGGGTAGGTTTGGGGTAGTCCGTTAAGGGTAGGTTAAGGCCCGGCATCGTTTTAGGGTAGGTTGAAACACAACCACGACCGCCAGCCAATTTTAAACCCACCCTAAACCAGCCCCAAACCCATCCGAGATTAACCCCAAGAAGCCCCGCCATAAACCAGCACCAAACCATCCACCACCCCCAAATTTGCTTTCAATAGGCCTGGAACCCATCCGGAGCCAAGCCTGAGCCAACCTGGAACCCACCCTAAACCCAGCCAACCAAAGCCTGGTGATGCTGAGGATGTTGCCTTTCATGCAGGCCAGGCTGTGCCAGGGCTAGGCTAATGCCAGGGCTATGCAAAAAAAACACCTCAGCCTCTAATGGAACCTCTCATTTGGCAGCAACTTGCTGACATCGAGATTGCTAGAGCATTCTTGCCCAACCTCTTACCGAGAATCTCAGCCGGGTTTCGTTTAGGCTCAGCGTGCGCCAAGTAGGCATTCGTGTAGGCTGTAGCTCAGCATGGCAGATGAGTGAAGGAACTGTTGGGCTCAGAATCAGACCTTTGCAAGCGGCCAAAAGCGGGCTTCATGTGCCATGCTTACTTTCTGTGCGCTCATGCGTGTGGCTTAGCACGCAGATCATGATTTGCACATATGCTCGCTGACCGCCGAGCTCGGAGGCGACTTCTACAAAAGCCAAGGAGTCAAAGGAGGTGGGCCGGGAGATGCATGAGAGTCTCTGAGCCCCTCCCCTGCCTTAGATGAGCCTGGGGGCCTCCGTGGCCATCTTTTTGCTCTTTGTTTCATTTGCGCAACAGCCCGAAAGGTGTTGATCGCTTGAGGCCCAGTCCTTCCATTTCGGTCCCATGGTCGTTGCAGGGCTACGAGGTCACCATGGCGTCCTGGGATGGCGCCGCGCCCTCAGCGCAGGCTCTGAAGGGTCAGGGCTGGGGTTGGGGGCTGTTCCCTTGAGTCCGCAATATTTTTCGTGGACTCAAAGGGATTTACCGTGACGTGGGAGACCGCTTCTGCCGGCTGATGGGTGATCTGGCGGTGGCATCAGGTCTGCTTGTTTGGGGGGAGGTGGATTTCTCAATGAATCCTGTAGTTTTGCTGCGCCCAACAGCAGTGGTAAGACGTAGTCCTCGCCGCCATAAACTTTAGGTGCAGCTTGCTGACTGCAAACGACCCATTTCTGCGGCGCCAGAGGGGCTGGCCGGCGATCGGGGACTCGTCGGGTATTGACTCGTCAACTCGACCAGGACGGTTTGTTCAACCCGCTGTGATGAACCCCCAGCATTCAATCCCGGTGTCCTCTTTTCTTCCAGCACAATTCAAATCACGACCAAAGAAACGCATAGAAGGGGGGGTAATCTCAATCAAGGGCCCTTTCACATAGACGAATCCTTTGCGGATGCAAGACACAAGAGGGACAACACATATGTAGGCCACTGTCACTGACATAGAGAGGGGTTCCGCAGGCAGGGTTGGGCAAACTCCCGGTGCCATTGAAAAGGAATTGAGGAGGAGCTTGTCGAAGTAATGTGGAGTTTGAACCATGATTTGAACAAGGGTTGAATCGCCGAATGGTCCCCAGCCTTTTTCACCCTCCTGCTTGCTTAGTGGGCATTCCTTTGAGTGAAGCTTGCGACCCATCTGCCCGGCGAGCCGGCGAGCCGAGGCCATGAAGAGTACCCGTGTCCCGTCGCAGCTCTTCGAGCACTGTGAGGTGGAGATGCAGGAGATCATGCTTGGGGAGCAGGGGGCCCCGGGCCTTCCGATTTTGGACGGTGGGGAATCGTTTCTGGCCGACCGGGGCTGGCATGGGCTGGCAAAAATCCTTGCCCAGCTTGGCCAGGGGTTCGGGGCCGGCAGCTTGCGTTCCTGCTCTTTTTTGGGATGGTGCCATTGGGGGCGCCTCCAGTTGGAGCATGGAGGCAGATGATCAGATGGCCATGGTCACGAGAATCGGTCCTCAGTCCGGAAGGATTGTCAATGGTCATAAATCTTCCAACTCTGCAAAGCTCACTTTGGTGCCCACGTTGAATTGCTGAAGGCCTCATGCAAATCGAGGCAACTCACGCCTGTCAGCTTTCCCAGCGGCATGGACACTCCCCTCTAGCATAAACACGGCCGAGGCCACAGGTCGCTGGGCGCGTCAGCAAGCTGGCGGTGGACTGGCCTTCCTGGCCTGTTGACAGGAAGGGCGCGCCGTTTTTTTTTTGAGGGTAACCCTTTTTGGATGGATTGAAAGGGAAACTGAGAGATAAACCAAAGCCATTTGGGGGTTCAATTTCAGAGGGGTACCCGGAGCCTCTGAGGCCTTCTTAGGCGCTGGGAAAATTCGGATTGGGGGCTCCTTTGCTTCGACCCCGGGACGTGGGGTCTCTTGTTTGGTTGTTTCTCCTTTGGGTTGACCATCAAGAGGACATGAGTACGGAGCTGCCACATCCTGCGTCAATGCCAGGGGCCCCTGAAGTTTCTTCCCTTCAAACCGGCCCATAGCTCTAAGTTGGTCCCCACACCGAAGCACTGAAGGTGAGGAGGCTTCCGGGACGAAGGGGGCGGTTCCGAGGAGGTTCGCCGTAAGAAGGGTTGCAAGGGTCTCCCAATCCTTGAAACCTTTATCGTTGGAGCAGATTCCTTGGGAAGGAGAGTAGCTTTTGGGATGATTCCGAGGTGAGTGTTTTTTTTTTGGGAGCTTTGGGGGCTTTGGGGGCTTTGGTCGGGAGTAGTGATGGAACCGTTCCTTGGAACAGGCTCTTGGCTCGTCTCGTGGGGTCTCCGCCCTGCCTCGCAGGTGTAACTTCCAACAGCTTCGAGGAGGAGGCTGCCGCGTCGCCCGGACTCAGTTCCCCAAAGCTCAGGAAGGAATTTACATGAGGTTCCCTGGCAGTACACTCCCTCAAGCTAGCATGGAAGCTCCCAGAAGGCCTATGTTAGTCTGTGGGAGGGTAGGTTCCAACTGTGGGCCCATGGGAAAAATGCAAGGCGCTCTGAAAGTCGAGCCTGAAACCCATAGTGCTCCACGTTTCTCTTCAATGAGGCCTGATCCATGCCTAGATTGCATGGACCATGGATTGCCTGCAGGCTCCAATTTTTTCCCAACCAGCCGAAACTCACTCACTTTGCCCACCTCGTGAGTTCTTTCAACTCGGACCCCTCGCGACTTCTTCGAAGCAGCTTCGGCCCCCCTTGGCCCAGCTTCGCAAAGATCGCCCGCAGCTGAGCCTGTCCTGGCTCAGCGAAAAGGAGTGATATATTTATCTGTTCGGGTGCGCTCCAAAGTTGCCGTGGAATCCCATGGCGCTGGATCTATCCATGGAGATGGAGGTCCTCCAAGCTTCGGAGGACTCCAAGGACCGAAAAGCGACTGATTCAGGTTGAGGCTCAGCATTCCCCCCCCCCCCAGTGGCCCCAGAAAAACTATACATGTTGTTTTTTTTTTGGGGGGGTTTTCGTTAGTATCGTTCTGTACTATTTTGTTGTTTAGTATCGGTCCTTTTCACGTCTTCTTCGATTCGGTCCTCTTTGGTTTAGTCATAGTTAATAGTATTGGTTTCATTTAAATTGTGTAGGACGGGTTGGAATAGGCTAGTATTATTTAGTATTGCTCCCATAACTTTTCGCTTTATCCTTTATAATTGAGTATCAGGGGCCAGGCTGTACTCTCCTGGGCTCTTTGAAGTTCCTTTTTGGGGAAGCATCTTTGTATTTGCTTCCCTTTGCGCATCCGGAACCCACATCACCCACAAGGATGCCCCGTGATATCCAGGGTTAAACCGACTCCTCGATCTCCTCCTAAAAGAAAATCCTGCTTGTTTTGCCAGGTGTTTTGCTTGAATCGGCAGATGGGGGGGATGATCGTTATGACTCGTTTATTTTAGTCGAAGCACAGACAAGATGTCAGCAAGGATCACCTGACAAATTGCAGGAAGAGGCCTGAAAGATAGCACAAGACATCAACTGAAAGATTGGTCGGGGAGATGTCACCAAGACACATTATCACAGATTGCATAGAGACCCTGCCAAGAGACCGTGATGTTAACAAGAGATCGCCCAGGCAAGTTATGTTGGGAAGCCGGGGTCTGAAAAAAGGCATGGCCCAATGTGGCGATTTGGCGAGATGCTGGCTTCGCTGCCAGCTTTTCCGGCTTTTCCTAATGCAAAAGGCAGAGGGACGTGCACGGAACAGGCAGATTGAAAAAGGGAATGACTTGGAGGGGTTGGTGCGATGTTGAAGTTCTATTGTCCAACGCAGAACGTGGAAATCGCTTGGTAAACGCAATCCTTGGAAGTGCTGGTTTGCTGGAAGCATGATACAGGGTCCAAAAAGCAGCGAGGTCAGAAGCGACGACTGAACCTTGTCTCTTTCACGCTTCAATACTGCTGCGGCCCCTCCTGTTGCCGTGGGCGGTGGTTGCACGAAGTGGGACGTTTTGCATGCAACGGCAGCGAGAGAGAGGGAGATCGAGAGCGAGCGAGAGAGAGAGAGAGAGAGAGAGAGTGGTTGCAGGAGAGGCGTGGGGTGCAATTCGAGGTCGGCTCGGAGGAAGAGGAGCCGCCAACGGGTTTCGGAGCAAGGGGGATTCGGAGCAACGGGTTAGGGGGTCCCCCAGTTTTGGCCCAGTGGGGGAAGGCTGAAATTGGCTATGGCAACTAGGAAAGCTGGGTGGAGACATCAAAGGGTTCTCTGAGGACATGACCTTGCTATTGCGACGCCAGCACAGGGAGACCTTGGAGATCCTGCGCGGCAACCAGGCTCGCTGAGGGGTGCCCAACGGGTGCTTCTTGTTTTTTTTTTTAATGGGCCCAGAAACCCAGCAACCGAATTGGTTTGAACGCTCCCATGTTGCTGTTTTACAGATTCAATCCCCCCAGACATCCCTGTTTTGAGACAGGGATCCGAACCCCGGGCTTTTGTAGGTAGTGGAAACCGCTCCTTAACCACCAATCCAAACCACCAATTGGAGGCAACTGACTTATCGGCGCGCTTTGGGTTCCCTGGCCAGGACATCTTGCAGCGCCTGGACAGCCATTTCTCTCGCTCCCCTTTCACGGAATCCAGCCCGACGCAGTCCAAGAATCTTTTGGTAGCGCTCTCCGCGAACAGCTCGGAGATGCCCGGATCGGGCGGCTGCAGCACCACCCCGAAGCTATTTCAGAGCTGCTTGGCGGGGCCCCATAAAATGTATTCCTTTGCTTAAGCAACATGTTGAAGATCAATCCAAAGAGAGTACACATTTTGAGAACTCAGATGCCCTCCTTACTCTTCCCCAAGGTCTGCGTGGCTGTGTGTGTGTGTGTGTCTGTTTGTCTGTCTGTCTGTCTGTCTGTTTGTTTGTTTGTTTGTTTGTTTGTTTGTTTGTTTGTTTTGGGTGGCATCGAGGTTCTGGCCTTAAACGATGCCAAGGTCGTGAGCCACCAGTGTCCTCTTGTGAGTCAAGGCTTTCGGCTGTTTTGTAGTTCTTGCATCTTCAAGCCAAGGGCTGCGCTCAAAGAAACACTGCGTGGCATGTCGTGCGTGGCCAAGTGGGGCCCCAGTTCTCCTGACGCGTCACTCAAAAGTGCTAGCTATGCACAGAGCACTTTACCCCGTCATGGCATACCAGTTGCAGGCCGCAGTGGCAAGCACACTGGGGAGGGGGGGGCTGCGCCGTTTCAAATGGGTGCGTTTTGTTTTTTCCGGCGTATTTTACAGCATATTCTCGCGAAATTGACGCATTTTACACTAACCCGTCAACATCCCCAGCATTGTTTTCAACATCCCCCGCATGTCCGACCAACATCCCTAGCATCACCAACAAATCGTGTGATGGGGTCAAAGAAACGATGATTCAAGTAGTAGGGCATTTCAATCCCTGTTAAAAAAACAAAACAAAAACACTAAAAAGTAGCGGGGGGGTTGGGGGGGGGGGGCGGCAGCCCCTCCCATGATGTTGTTTGCAGAAGTGATGATTTGAATAGGGGTGCAATTAAATCTCTGCAAAAAGTTTAAAAAGTAGCGGGGGGGTCGGGGGTGATGTTCAAAGAATTGATGATTCAACTAGGGGTGCAATTAATTAAATCTCTTGAGAAAATCTAAAACGTAGCGGGGGGGTTGGGGGGGGGGGCAGCCCCCCCATGATGTCGGAAGAAGTGGTGATTCAAGTAGGGGTGCAATGATTCAAGAAAGGGTGTGATAGAATTTAAAAGGCAGCGGGAGGGTTGGCGGGGGTGGCTTCCCCTATGATGTTCGAAGAAATGCATACATACAGACATACATGGATTACACAGATTACCTAAAGTGTCGTATTTTGCAGCGTTTTTTCGCGAAATTGGACGCTCGAAAAAGTGATGATTCAAACAGGGGTGCAATTCAATCTCTGCAGGAAATCTGAAAAGTTGTGGGGGGGGAGGCGGCAACCCCCCCCCGGTTGGGGGGGGTGGTTCCCCCCCCATGATGTGCGAAGGAGTGATGATTCAAATAGGGTGGTGGTGATGCTCATGATGCGGGAAGCCAAATCCAAAAACCAAAAGCCAAAAAGCCCGAAGGATGCGAAAAGCCAAAGCCGCCAAAAGCCGCCAAAAGCCAAAAGCCGCATAAACCAGCAAAAAGCCGAAAAGCCAAGAAGCCCAGAAGCCGAGAAGCCAAGAAGCCGAAAAGCCAAGAAGCCAAGAAGCCAAGAAGCCAAGAAGCCAAAAAGCCAAGAAGCCCAGAAGCCCAGAAGCCCAGAAGCCCAGAAGCCAAGAAGCCGAGAAGCCAAGAAGCCGAAAAGCCAAGAAGCTAAGAAGCCAAGAAGCAAAAAAGCCAAGAAGCCAAGAAGCCAAAAGCAAAAAAAACTCCAAAAATATATGAACAAACCCTAAAATTAATACCCCTCCAATTCAAATCTCAATTTGCCAGTTTTGGTGGACGCGGGCTCAACTGGGCCAGTCAGGCCGACATGACCAAACCCCAGAGACATCCACAAACTTGTCACAAGGCCAAAGACGTCGGTAGAGACATCCCATAAAGACACCCGAAACACACACCCCGAAGATATCTTCAAAGGCCTCCCCAAAGCCATCCTCAAATGCAATTGCTATGTACATCTCCTAAAGAAACCTCAAGGGAAGACACAAAGACATCCCCACCAACATCCCCAACGGCATCCACATGCCCAAAGCCATCCCCCAAGTTCCCAAAGACACCCCCGAAAGATATCATCAAAGACATTTCTCAAAGAAGAACTCGCGGAAGACATTGTCTGCAGACATCCGCAATCCAGAATCCGTATTCCAAAGTACTCTTGACCGTCAAATACCAGGGAAAAGCAAGAGTGGGGGCAGGCAGGGGTTGGGAAGGCCTTCCTTCTCCTTTTCGGATGATGTGCACCTGTCCTCTGCCCGTTCGCCCTGTCGCTTGAACACTTTGCCAGTTGGATAAAATTAGTTTCAACAACCAGCGGCGTCCCAATGATGGGAAGAACCGTCATCGAAGGATCGTAAAGCAACGTCGCTATGAATGCGTGCTCGCCACAAGCTTTGTGGTCCCTGTGATAGCTTTTCCGGTCCTTGGTTTTCCTTATGAAAACGATAAGGGACACCAAAAGGACGCCGTTTCGTCGCGTGAGGCTACAGCTTTCATGACTCCCAGCTAAAGGAGGAGGCCAGCACTGCCCACGCACAGACGAGCAGGGCGCGCTTCTCCGTCTTCGAGCCCCATGCCTTAGAGTTGCCCAAGGCGAGCGGCGCAGATCTCTGCCGATCTTGGGGGACTTGCGGTCTGATAGTCAAACTTCCTTTCAATTGAGGCGAACAGGTGATGGGTCCAGACCAAGCCTGCCCCATCGTTTGAGAGCATATGT